TTAAATTTAAAAAAATATATATATATTAAACACAATACTTTTGTATGCAGTAAATTGATTAAAAATAAAGTGTCCCATATAAATAAAAAAAAAATAGAAATGCAAATTTAATACCAATATAAAGCACTCAGAGGCAATTGATAGTTATTCATTCAATAGAATTTAATTTGAATAAACAAAGATGTATATTTAAAGAGAATGTTCAGATATTTTTCAAATCAAATCATCAAATATAAACCTTATCGAAAAACAAATCCATTCATTTGAATATTAAAAATAAAACTCAACATTCTACCTGCTCAACAAGTGATTATCACATTCTTTCAGCATTAAACGCAACCATAAATTATTCAGCGTGTATATATATATTTATATTTTTCTAATGCTTGTCATCTTTTGATTCCCTTTATAAAAAACTATTGCAACAACAAGAAAAACTTGGACCAATTTCTTATTTCTTTTATACCTCTGCTTCCATCGTAGCGCACATTCGCTTCGGAGCACACGTCGCGACTTATAAGTGTAAGCATTTCGAAAGAGCACTCCCTATAGAGAGAGCACAGCAGTCCTACTTCAAATACCCTATTTACCTCTCCGGCAGCGAGCGAACAGAAATGGGAAATGAAACGCCCGAAGGCGGCAAAAGTGCTCATAATTTTGCTAACAATGCGAATGGGACATAAGGTAAACATTGGAATACAGGGTATCAGGTCTCATAAAAAATAAAAATAAAAAGACCAGAGAGAAAGAAACATTGCGGTCACAAGTTACAAAAAGCGATTTGTGTTGAATAAAGCAAAAACAAACAAGCAAACGGCGGTAAATAAAGCAAAGTTGTTAAGCAAAATGGAAACAATGCGAGCCAAAACAACTAAAGGTAAACACCACCCAGAAGAGAGAGGAAGCACAGCAGGACGGGGAATGTGGCAGCGGCTGAGGTTGAGGATGTGGCTGAGGCTGATCGGCCCGGGGTAATTATGGCAAGTGCGCACCATTAGCTTCCGCAAACAGTTTGGCGGCCCGATGACGCAGCTCAAGTGGAATGAATGAACAGATGTGTTAATATCAAACGCATTTCGTGAACCCTTTGCAGGAACAACAGTTGCTGCCGCAGCAGCAATAATTGGGCTACCGCAACAGCAACACCCCTCAATATATCCGCCCATCGCCGCCGGCAGCGGGCATATGCAGTGCGGCCCATCAGCTTGGATCAGCATTAAAGGATTATTGAAGCAAATGCAATTATTTGACAGCGCAACACAGCGAACACAGCCAACCCCTTTGCCCGGGCGACGTCTTGAGATGTGGCCGTCGGGTGGTGCTGCTGGTGCTGCTGTTTGTGGTGCCAAGTGGTTCGGGGGGTCGGACTAGTTTCTGCCCAATTCCCATAGACTGTGATTATAATAAATTATCAATTATTGGTATTATATGCGGTCGTGTGGGCGGTGTGGCCGTTGTGGGTGTGGCACTCGACATTGTCATGCTGCAGACATAATTCTAAGCGAATTATCTACGAAATGAGAACTTTCTGTGGCGCCAAGCGAGGAAATCGACACTGCTGGCAACTTTTCTCAATGAATATTAATAGTTTTATTTCGAGTTGTAATTGAAATCAAGGAGCTCTACCTTAGGGTGGGAAATCTGATTCTCAAACAGCAAAAATTGTTTGCTAAAATACGTTATGTTTACTATATTACCAGGGAGTATTCAAGAGGAGTTTTAATTTTATTTATTTTAAAAGTAAATAATATAATATTAGATATAGTAAATTAGCAAATATTGCACATAGAAATTAGAAGAAAACGTTGTTTTTCTATCTGCATCTATCTGTGTCCATCTATAGCTATCTATAGCTACCAACATCTATCCATGACTATCTCTATCTACCCATACCTATTCATACCCATTAATATCTACATACCATCTCCTAATGTCCTAATATCAATTTGAAAATTTGTATAATCAGAATTTGGAAAAATCTGTTGCCTCTCATATTTTGCATTAGCTTAAATTGAATCCCATTCCCAACTGATTTATCAATCAATATCATTTATAAGGCAGCTCTGGCACATTAGCTCAACTTCAAAGCACTTTGTCTCTGTCAAGCCACTGTATAGCCAGCTCAAGTCTAGACAGGAGAAGCTGGCTTACTCGCTCAGCCGTACGGATACGCATTAAGTAAATGATTTTGCGTTGGACTGAAATGCCGAGCGACAGACGCCGCCGAGCATCAAAAATTGACAGTGGAAGTGAAAAAGACGAGAGGAGAAAAACATATCAGGTTACCGGCAAGTGCCCGGCTTTGGGAGTGAGTCCAAGTGAGCGGCAAACAAGTTCGGGGACTACAAGCGAAGTACATAATAAATTTTATTATAAAATTTATTTGCGCATTTTCGCAAAATGTGTCAAAATGCGGTCGCTGAAAATGCGACTGCGACTGCGACTGCGACTGCGACTGCGAAGCGCAGAGTCACCCTCATCAAAAATATTTGGCATTCATTCCATTATCGAAATCCCAGACTAAGCCAGGCCCCAAAAAATGAATATCTTTTATACTAACGCACTCTCTCTCTGTCTCTCTCTCTCTCTCTCTCTCTCTCTCTCTCTCTCTCTCTCTTCTCTTCAATTGTTGCTTTTCACTTATTTTTTTGCAGAATTTTTCATGTTTTTATGTTGTTTTATTTTCATTTGTCTGACATTTAAAGGCCAGCTTGAGCTGAAAACTTGGACAGAAGTCAGCGAGCTGACAGGCCGGGCTGGGCGCGGGTGGTTTCTAACTTTGTTAGGCTGACAGGTGCACGTGTTTGGCACAAGTGTCCCATTGTTGGACGTTTGACATATAAATTTGTGGCCAAAATTGAATTTCAAATATCAGGTTACACGTGGGAAACTTTTTTGTGCCTCAAGTGTTGCAGGGTAGTTGCTGTTGCTATTGTTGCTATTGCTGTTGCTGTTGTTGTTGTTGTCTCTAATTGTGCCGGAAATAGCGTAGTGCATCATCATTGTCATCGCCTAACGCCACCAAAGTGTTTCTAATAGCCACCTGTGTGTGGGCCGGTGCACTTATCACATAGCGCTACGTGTCTCTAGTTAAGGTTGCATCCTCATTAAGTTGCTGCCACATAATTTGCTCAGTCTCTCAATCTGTCGCGTGGGCAACGTGCCTGAGTGCCTCAGCCACCCACGTCTTGAGTGTGTGTGTGTGTGTATGTGGAAGTGGAACTACATAGTAGATCCGCTAATTGTCATCTGCCCCAGCAGCTAATCCGACAATAAGCCACGGCACAGTGTCACAAATTGTCAGCGCTAATGATTGCAATTCTCACAATTTGCCATTTCTCTCACTTGATCTTTCTATTTTTCTCTGATTTGCTGACTTAATTTGCATGCAAGCGCAATTATTTGCTTAAGTTCATAAATTTTAATGGGCAATTCACAATTTGGCCATGCCAAGTGCTGCAAATACAATTGTGACTGAATATGAAAGTGGGCAACTAGTCAAAAGAACAACAGGAAATTCGTATGTTGAGAAAGCATTGAGAAATATAAATATAAATAGATTAGATATTTATTATATTTCACTCAATAAAAATCTTATTTAATATAAAATTAATAATATCTATAAACTCCAGATAAAATGTAAAATAATTAACATTAACTAAATATGCATTGACTTCACTCAATGCTCAACTCAACATTTAAATTTCAACAAAAATTAAAATGTATACAATTTTTCACACAGCCCTTGTTTGCACTTCTCAGGGCAGGACGTTACTAACTTTATATATA